TGAGTCGGCATGTAATCTTTCCATGAACACTCACATTGATGCACATGAAAATTTATCGGTTCAGTTCTCATTTTTGCTAAAACACACTATAAAAATCTTTTTCCATCCCTTGGATTTATTTTAGCTATGCTACTGCATCATAACTCAGCATCTGTTACACCTTGGTGACTTGTCTGTTATTTACATACTTTGTTAATATGGCACATTATTAAAAGTAGTTAAAACCGGTCAGAAAGAAGACCTATAGTCCCATGTACTAGTTTTAGCATCTCTTCATTTGCTCTCTGTCACCTCTTGGATTCATGTCAACAATTTAAATTTGATTTACATATCATTACACAACGTGACACCTTTTCATTTCGAAGCTGCCCTCAGTTTGGAGCTGACAAACAAACGTCAAGCTGCAGTGTATTAATGTGACTTGTACACATAATGAGGAGCCATCAGCACAATATAAACCACATAACCGTTGTCCCAGTTCAGGATCTGGTCACCTGGATCGTTCAGAAGACACGGCTGACAAAGGTCAAAACTCACCAAAATGAATGGTTCAGGTGCTTCTTGTAAAGTAGTGAAGTCACAATGTTCATCACCAGTGAGTTGCCTATAGTTAAATTTTTAGTAGGACACTAAGAGCTGCAGAAAATATACTTATTCTCTGTGTCTTCTGAATTTGTGCCCTTGTGATGTTTTTTGTCTTGAAGTGCAGACTTTGGAGGATCTAGTCCCTTGAATTGAGATGCAGCCAGATATACTGACACTCAGGGTGTGGAAGACCATCTTTTCTAATGTTCACCACCATTCACCATTTCACTTTACAGCAAAAATACTCCTCTCAGGGCAATTTGAAAGGATGGACGGAAGATGATGTGTAAATCTCTACCAGCATTCATGTTAAATTCTGTTGGAAATGCCCAGATCAGTTTTTATTATTCCCGAACTCTGCATGCAATAGAGTATTTCGCAACTTGTAAACCATATTTTTGTTTTCCATTTTGTTACTAACACAATGGAAGATCCAGTAAACCCCATCAGGGTCTCTTCTGCTATATTAATCCCCATCTAATGAAGTCCTGGCCTCTGTGCTTCTGTACTGAATTGTAGGTCAAAGCATCGCTCCCAATAATCGTTGATTAAACCTTTCAGCTATTTGTGAACTGTAATGAAGCCCAGAGCCCAACACATAACTGAATAAAGCAGCTGCATGGGGCCCCCAGGGGCACCCAACCTTACAAAAACCCTCACAAATATATATTATTAGCAGTTCCAGCAAAGAGACATTTCCCTTCTACATGGTTTGATATGAAACTGTTTGAGGTTAAATACTTACGAAAATATGGCTATAAATTTGTGTATCACAATATCTCACAACCCCTCAGATTTGTGACCCCTCCCAACCCCTAGATTGGGAACCACTGGACTAAGCTAGCTAACTTTATATAAAGCAGTAAAATACTGCTCTGCAGAATGAGTACTTTTACTTTTGAATACATTTACCTGATGTACTTGGATTTTAAAGGAAGACCTTTCAATTGTAATGGGAGTATTTTTACATTGTGTTGTTATAATTTGACTTAAGTGAGAGTATTTCTTCCAAGAATCCAGTGTTATCCATTTAAAAAAACATTGTTTTGTTTTTTTCTACTTAAGCCCATCAAAAAGTTTTGGGCCAACTGACGTCATATGATATGATAAAATAAATAAACAGGACCTAATAATATTTGTTTCTAAGTAACCATATGGTTTAAATATGCTCATTGTATCAGTATGCTTTAAAAAGTTGTAATCACAACCATTTGTTTACAGGATTATATAACAGTAACACAATATCCATCCATGTTTGTTCAATTATCTAATAACATCATATATAAAATGTCGACGGAAATGTAATTGACTCCAAAACAAAAATCATCTCATCCTGTAACAGTGCTGCAGAGAAATGCTGCTTTGTGATTGTGGTTGTACTTGGAGAGTAACTGGAGAAGTATGAGGCACAGTGTTGCTGATAGAGAGCAAACACAGCCACAACACTCCAATTAGGCTAAATAAATACAGACACTTGACCTCTGACCTATCTTTCAACAGGAACGAAGAGCTGCAAAAACTTATCCTGTGAGGGCTGAGCTCTGACCCCGGCCTGTCAATCACTGTCACCCCCCAAAAATAAAAAGAGTTTTCTTACAAATGACTGAACCAACCACTACTCTACCCTGCCCATGTGTAAGTATTGGGGGAGGCTTTAGCTCAGTCTGTTGGGACTTGGTTTGGTCCCGGTGGGTCGCCAGTCCAGCATGGATTATTGCCGATGGTGCCCTTGAGCCTGAGGACCTGAACACCTAACTGCTCCCCGGGTGCTACACAATGCTGTAATTAGGATGGGTTAAATATAAAGAACAATAAATTCTAATCCAAACCTTTTTATATAATTATACATGTATAATAATTATATAAAATGGAGAATACAACAAAGAATATGGTTCCAGAGATACTGATATTGTTGCATCAGAGGTTATGATTGGCTGTCCTGGTGATGTGTTGCGCACATAAACATCATACACTGGTTTCAGAAACCAGAAATCTTTTCCCAGTTTTGAATAACCTGGAGCACTTTGATATAATCCAGGAGGCTGTAGCTTGTAAACGCCTGATCCTGGTTTCTGAACATTCCTGTTCCATGTAAAAGTCACATCCTGAATAAAATCCAAACCAGAATAAACTCAATACTGTGAAACTAGCGCAGATGTAAACACACTCGCAGATTTGCATGTAGCTCGGGGAAACCATAGATTTGTGATCTGGCTAACAGAGTGCAGATATGTGGCTATAGTTCAACAAAATATATGAAATTGTATCTGGACTTTATCTGGATACGAGACATTTGAAATGTCAGGTGTAACTGGGGCCTTAAATATATACAGTATATGTGTTTTAATGCTACATGCAGCAGCTTTAATTAAATGTGTCAAAAGAATTGTGATTCAATTTTGAATGTTTTGTTATATATTTGGTCTGCAGCACTAGTGTACAACAAGTCTTCCAAATGGCCCAGGGGTTTAAGGCACAGACCACGTACCACAACGTCCCCTTATTGGCCCTATTTTTAGTGATGTAGCCATGTTCAGGGTAAAGTATTATAGAGTATAGAGTTGCAAAAAGAAAATAAGCTGTCTTAAAATAGATACTGTACATTTTTGCTCTAAATACCTGGCTGCAGGTATCTTAGGCACAAAACAACAAACTTTTCTTTTCAAATTGCACAACAATTTAGCTAGATTAGGGACATTTTCATCACTGCTGCACATTAATTAATCCCTCAGCGGCTTTTCAAACTGGACTTAATTTCACCAGGCTCCAGCTGAGGGGAGGAGGGTTCCCCTCTTAGAAAGGTCCGTTTATTAAACAAGTAAATATTTCCACTGACATCATGCCCATTTTGGAAACACAAAGTGTAAAGTCAGAGGATCTGCTCCCGCTCTGTGGCACGGCCATCTCGACCGATCAGCGTCACTTACCGGCTAAATTTGAAGCAGCTGTTGGCTCGCTGGCACGCTGTAGCCGGCTACCTTTGCCGTCCTTCCACCTTTAACTTCAGCATAACATCATCTTTGAGCCAAGAAGGCTCAAATTTGAGGATAATGACCTGTTTGCTCCTGCTGAGATGCCTGAAGAACGCACAGAGATCATAAATCATCACTGCAACTGGAGTGTGTGATATACAGCTTGAATAAAGAGATATAGCCTACTGAGTGAAACTTTACTATATTATATTTTGGATTCCCACACAGAAGGTAAGGTTCACAGCAAGTCCCAGCAGAGCTACTGTACAAGTTAAAGTCAAAAAGATTATTTTGACCACTTGGGGGCAGCAGAAACAAGTTTTAAAAGAAGACATATTATGCATCACTTTATAAAAGTTGATATAATAGTCACCTGTTTAAACATTCAGCAGATGTGGAGCAGCATTAGCATACATTTGGAGTTGTGTTCGTGTCCACCTGATGAATGTAAGTCCAATAATAACGCCATAATTTAGCTCCATTTTTGGTCTCTACCAAATCCTGAAGAAAATATCAGTCTCTTCAGCTGCTAAATACTACACTATGTTTTGTGGATATGGCCCGTGGACTCTTTCATTATTGAAACTAGCTGTTAGTTAGATTTAATAATTTCCACTGGGGTAGAAGAAAATGTTTTTTTGTCTCGTACACTTACATAGTTTCAGTTTGATCTAATGACTAAAAAATCTTGAAACAGTGTCCTCTTACTGTCCAGTCCCACAATCCAGATGGGAAAAGTTCTGTCTTGATAAAAATGTTCATATGTTCATCTTGGTCGCCTACAAAGATTCCCCTTGAGGCCACAGCAAACTTGTCAGAGCAGCACCAAGCATTGTATGATCTTTTTCTGCCCTGGATTTCACCTCTCAGGCGGTTCTTCTTGATGGAGTTTGTTGGGGGCAACTTAAGATGAAGATCTGCAGACTTTACAGGGCAAAAAACAAAAGTGCTGAAACTGCTGAAACTGCTACATGTTGTTTTGATTTAAATGTGACAATAAAAAATTATAATATTCTCCTACAAAACTTACAGAGGGGACCAGCAAAGTCAGCATTAAGTATTAAAAGATTGATTTACCAATGTGCCAAGAAAACCAACAAAAGCAGAGCAGCAATAGTGCTGTGGATAAGACCTTTGGTGTGGGAGACCCAGGTTCAATTCCTACTTCTTATTTAACCCCTAGTTGCTGAAGAGGTGTCTGGCATATAAACAGTTGTATTTTGGGTAAAAGTGTTAAATGACTAAATGTAATGAAACAAAACCAGCAACTTGTCAGACAATTGTTTCTACTGTTTTTATTGTCTCTCCACATTGGTGAAACAGCGCCCCTCTCGGATGGTTTGTTAGGTAATAGTGGTGAGACATGGTATTGCAGTTCTACTGTAGAAGGGAAGCCAGGTGAAACTGACATCCTTTGATTAGAGAATAGTTTCAAAAAATTAGATGCGGTCACTGTGAACTCTGGAAAACAACTGTGAAGTTAAGCACTTTGACACTGCGACAAACTGCACCAGGCAAGCAAATGTATTACACAAACAAATAAAAAACTGTTAGCTAGTTTTAAAGTGATGCTGTGGTTTAGGTAGCTTGTTTAGGTAGCAGCAGTGGAGACAGGAGAACCATCGTCACAGAAAACAAGTGCTGTGGGACAATGTGACATGGATATATGGATACGGACCTTTAATTACACCTTCAGTCTCAAATAAGGTGAGTCAAGTACAAGTTATCTGTCTGTCTCTGTTAGCTCTGTGGCTTTTAACGTTACTGATGTTTAAATGGCTGCCGTGGTTGTGTTGTGTCTTCACTGGCTGTTTACTTGTTGATGTTACAGAAGTTAAAATGCTTTTAATGCGCTGTGTCTTGATGTTATGGAGGTTAAAATGATTTTAATGGGCTGTGTCTTGATGTTATGGAGGTTAAATTGCTTTTAATGCGCTGTGTCTTGATGTTATGGAGGTTAAAATGATTTTAATGGGCTGTGTCTTGATGTTATGGAGGTTAAAATGATTTTAATGCGCTGTGTCTTGATGTTATGGAGGTTAAAATGATTTTAATGGGCTGTGTCTTGATGTTATGGAGGTTAAAATGCTTTTAATGCGCTGTGTCTTGATGTTATGGAGGTTAAAATGCTTTTAATGCGCTGTGTCTTGATGTTATGGAGGTTAAAATGCTTTTAATGGGCTGTGTCTTGATGTTATGGAGGTTAAAATGCTTTTAATGGGCTGTGTCTTGATGTTATGGAGGTTAAAATGCTTTTAATGCGCTGTGTCTTGATGTTATGGAGGTTAAAATGCTTTTAATGCGCTGTGTCTTGATGTTATGGAGGTTAAAATGCTTTTAATGGGCTGTGTCTTGATGTTATGGAGGTTAAAATGCTTTTAATGCGCTGTGTCTTGATGTTATGGAGGTTAAACTGCTTTTAATGGGCTGTGTCTTGATGTTATGGAGGTTAAAATGCTTTTAATGGGCTGTGTCTTGATGTTATGGAGGTTAAAATGCTTTTAATGGGCTGTGTCTTGATGTTATGGAGGTTAAACTGCTTTTAATGCGCTGTGTCTTGATGTTATGGAGGTTAAAATGATTTTAATGGGCTGTGTCTTGATGTTATGGAGGTTAAAATGCTTTTAATGCGCTGTGTCTTGATGTTATGGAGGTTAAAATGCTTTTAATGCGCTGTGTCTTGATGTTATGGAGGTTAAAATGCTTTTAATGGGCTGTGTCTTGATGTGATGGAAGCTAAACTGTTTTTAATGCGCTGTGTCTTGATGTTATGGAAGTTAAAATGCTTAAATAATTGGTCTTGTTTTCCTGTACACTGAAGCCGTTGTAGTGTTGTTGATGTTTACACAAACACACTAAGTTAATTATCAGTATTACTAACTTAATCAAACTAATTTGTATTTTTTCCTAACTTTCTTCTTTGGCAACAGAGACACCTGTTCACTGTGTTGGATTTTCAGTAGTTTGTAATCTGTGCAGAAGATCGTTGTGATACATTTTCATCCTTCTTTTGGTTTTTAGCTGGTCTATAATTACTTATAATAAGTAATTTAAATACTTTAGGCCTTGCTGGGTATTCTTTAGATCTGCAACTAATGACTATTTTCATTGTTAGTAAATCAGCCAAATATTTTCTTGATTTACAGACTAGTTGTTTGGTCTATAAAATGGCAACAAAATCCTTGTGAACTCAAGGAATTTAATAAACTCTAGCAGACAGGGTAATCCCAGCTGATGTTGGTAGATCAGTTTATTGAGTTGTATCATTCTGGTTGTAAAGGAGAGTTCAGTTTTCCACGATGGTCTAAATGCTGTTTGAAAGGCTTGTCTATCCTTGCAGGCTTCCTTAGTGAATGTTGGCACAACATTTTCCTTCAGTCTTATTGTAATGTTTTACAACGTTCATTTTAAACTGAATTTCTCCTGCCCCTGCTGCTTTTCTGTGGTGGAGCAACACTTCACTCTGTCTCCATTGCAGCCCGAACAAAAAAAATTTCATTCAACCACAGCAAAGCATTTCAAGGTCAATTTAACCCAAATTCTACAATTGTCACTTCACTTAACCCTGTGCCCTGTGGTAAACCCCACTCAACTGGACCTCCCTGTAGTTTAAAGCAAATATCTTATTGAATTGGAGTTGGTAACGAGTTGTAGGCCAACAGATATGCTCATCCACTGAAGTCCTTGTTTTATGGATTTTTTCTTTTTTTTTTTTTGCTGCCCATTTTAGCCTATAAAAGTCACAAGTTCAGCATGTAGCTAATAAAACGGCATGCAGCCTCACAAATGTCACCCTGAGACCAACGTTTTTTAAAAGGCCAACAGGATGTTCACACGTCACCTACTTAACAGTAATCGTTCCCGAAAGATGTTAATCACATAATGGACTGAACTACACAAAGTCAGTGGTCATAATTTGGTTCATCTTGTTTTGGCTTTGGCACAAAAAGACTGTAGGCTCAGTGTCTGTTCACCAGAGTGGCACAACGAAATCCATTTGCGCGTGTTCATGAAATAGGTGGGGATTTGCTTCCTGATGTAGTGGCTACCAGCAGGGCTAGGTGGCAAGCTACTGTTGCTGGTGAGCAAACTGCTTAAATACTAGCTAACTGTTTTGAATGCTAGTGTGACTGGGTCCTTCAGGGTCAGCGGATTTGTGATTTAAGTTTTAGGGTTAGTCTAAAAGTCTAGTCTAGGGTCACTCATTGACAGCCATTTCCTCTGGTTCACCAATCGTCCAATCAGAGCTTTGTAGGCGAGATGAAGAATAGGGACATCTTTCTTATTATGGCCGCACACTAGAGGATAATTGGGTCAATTTTGGGCCCGATTGGCCCTCCTGACAATGAACTACAGCTCTCGTCTCGCACGATATACATCACCAACACGTTAACGCTGTAATGCGAGCTAAGGTTCATTGCTAGCTACTAGCCAGTTAGGTAACTTAACAAAACATGATCATGTGCTGAATCAATCCGGAGTTGAATGGTTAGTATCTTGTGCATGCGCAGTCGATATTGACTAGCAGCTGTGTATTGTGTGCTAACCTCGACAACGTGGCTGGATTCTACCGTTAACATAGCTGTCCTTATTAGCTAGGCTCCTTGCTTGCTAATAACTTTTTTTGAAGGTGGGTCTCACCTATTGACAGCGTTGCGTTAAGAACATAGAACATAAAGTTATCAGAGTTAACTTGAATGCATCAGTTTTGGACAGATTTTAGCATTGGTGTTCATGATACTCACCATTCACCTCTGGATTGATTCAGCACATGATCATGTTGTGATTCATATATCATGGACGAAGAGGAGCGGCTATTCAGACAGGTCTGTTGTCAATAGCCGCTTTTTAGCTTATTTTCAGCGAGTATTGTGCCAATAATGCTGCTTGGTTGTAACAGAGACCGAACAATGTCTGTGTGAAAAGCCACAGCTGGCATGCCGGTGTTGTTTTATTGTTATTATACACGTAACTGTCTTTTTCTATGCTGCTGGTTTGGGAAAGCCGGATCGCTGTGTAAAAGCACACATGGTTGCAAGATTATGCCGCAAAAGTTGGTTTAGTATGAACGCAGAATGAGCAAATGTTTTCGAGTTTATTATGGGATCTTTGTATGAAAGCAGCTGTTGTGTTTGTGAGAGAGAGGGAGCAAGCCAGCAAGCGAGAGGAGAGGCTGAGTGAATATCTGTGCTGCACAAAGCTCTATAATTAAATGTGAGTTTACCCATTTTAAATAGAAAAAAAAAATCAATGTATGGGAAACACTGATCTACACATGTAAGTTCTTTGAATTTAGCTTCAGTCATAAAGAGAAAGTTTTATGGCAAAATCCAACTTTCTTGACTTGCAGAATTTTATTTTAAACTGACAAAACATCATGTGTAGTTCAAGGCAAAATTCAAAAGGGATCAAAATCTTCGTTGTCTCTCGCCGTTGACTACAGTACATTTCTTTTTTTTCTTTCTGAAATAAGGTCCCACAGTTGTCCACTGCTAAGAGAGGGACTTTACCACACAACATACAGTGTGAGTCAGTGTGTTGCTATGGGCCTATTGGGAAATGTAGTACTTAACTAAATTAAACATAAAAAGCCAGTAAAACAATTTGATTGAACATATTTACTGTAATAAAAACGTGTGTGTGGCTGACAGTTTGCTCATCTGTCTATATTTGTCTAAACCTAACATTTTATTACGTGTCTCTGTATATGTGAGCGTGTGTGTTTGTGTGTTGGGTATCACACAGGTGTTCACACATCAACACGGGTCATGTCATGTGAGCTTTGCCTCTCTGTTGACGGCGCCAGCGCTCCCACATGGTGCAGAGTGAACATGTTTATCGGCTGTGTAAATAACAGCAGAGCCGAAATTATTTCAACGCGCGAACATACTGAACTAATAAGTCAGAACATGTGTGTCCAAAAAGCCACAGCAGGTACAGGAACAGTGAAACAATAAAAGTCTATAAGGACGTGCAGGGATTTGAATCCATCCATCCTAATATGCTGTACTGTATAAAATTATTTGCACTATGATGCACAAATGTGAAACAATGCTATTAGTGATAGTTATTACTGCAAAAAGGAAATGAAAGGGAAAACAAAGAACAATTATTTGAAAGAATATTCGCTCAAGCTTATCATTACCTAAATATAATTATTATTAAAAAACTATGATATAACATTAAATATGACACATAATAAGACTGGGTCAAATGTACATGTCAATATACTACTCCAGTTGCACTTTTTATTCTCTAAAACTAATACCAGTCACTCCAGGATTTCACAATGTCGCGATTGCAACTATTAACACAAATTCAGCAAATCCCCATGAATTCAGCGCGACTTGCGATTTTGACCTATCATCGCAACTTTTTGCAGATTTGACTTATCATTGCCATTTCCCACAAAACGTTGTCATACGTCCTTGTCACTCAGCTCATGATGAATGGGGGCAAAAACAAAAGTGTTGTGTTTTATAATTTTGTTCAGTGTATAAAAAAAATGGTTAATTCTGTCGTTATGTTTGTGGTATCCCACGTTTTTAAAAAGTTGAAAGATTTGAAAATCCTCTAGTGAGCACCAGGCATTAAAGCATTGCTAGGTGGTTATTGTGGTGTTCATAGGTTGATTTTAAGTGTTTTAAATAGCAAAACCTGAAGTAAACTGTAATTTCTCAAAGTTGAACAGATTTCAAAAAGTTGAC